GGACAATGGGAAGAAGTGCGTGCGCCTCCCAACTACACTGCAGCTTTCATCGTATTGGTTGTCGACGTTATCAAATTTTCACCTTCTATGCGGATGGCAGAGTCGATCAAGCTCTCAAGGCTCTTAAGGAGCAATATGCTAGCTATCGGAAATAGTCGAGCTTGCATGCAGCCTCCTTTTCATCTTCGGCATGAGTCAATAGTCGACCATATTCTAACCGCGGGAATATACGGTGCATGTCGAGTTGCGGTCAGAAAACTCCAAGCTCGTCATCATGTACATACTGATTATGTAGCGCAGCAGGAAAAAAAAACTTGATCTGACTAGGGTCTAGGAATGCCACGGTTATACTCCATGAGGAATACCGATTTTCTATTACGCCTGAGCATAAGCTATTTTCATGTACCTATATAAAAAGTTATGTACTGTTCTTGGGTGCTTATATAGAACGCGCCTATGAGTTAAGTACATAAAAGTACATTCCTGCCCGAGGACCTACATTCAAATACGTACCATTTCTCCATGTTGGCCGGCGGGATCGCTGTTTGGTTAGTACATCTATGTAGGCTAGAACCGGAAAAGGTTACCGTAACTTTTTTTTTTTCTTTTTAACGTTGCAACCATGCACGCTCTTAACTCTAGAAATTATACGCTTCTTTTGTTGTCGCCCGTCTTCTCCATATGTTAGGTCGTTTCCAACTACCTTATGTATACTTGCGTATATCACAGGTTGCAGCAAACGCTTCTGGACATTGGTCGCCTGAATGCGCATATTAATTTACAATCCAACATATCTCGAATATCACTTGCCTTAGTATTCGCGTATTTTACTGCATTGCCTCTATAAATATCAAAATTTAGGTACCTGGTAAATGTTTTTCTTGGGCTGTGCACGTCATTAATATGTACCTACCTAATGTACATCTATAGGTAGGTACATAAATTAGGCGAATGACCTCAATCACATGTCTCCATAAATTGCCCCGCCACAGAGAAGAGCTAGTGCATTTCTAAGTTCGTATGCACACACACAAAACAACAACACCCCCCCATAAGAAACTTTCCGTCTTGATTTTTTTTTTAATTTCCCTCGTCTACCTTCTAAAAAGACGAAAATTAGAAATATACAACACCAACGTTCTCGAACGGTCCCTTTGAGATCCCGTCCCAAACGCGCCGTACCACTATTTTTTAGATCATATAAAGCTTTCTCCACGCCCGAGACAATTCGACTCGACCGACTCCTACTAGCAAGTCGCGAAACTTGTTAAGCCTCAACTCCATCTCGACTTGCCTTTGGTCTTCTCAAAGGCAATCCAATTACTACGGCTCCCGCAGCCGTTAGCTTCGTCTCTGATCAAGATTTCAGTCTGCGAAAGACTTTCCACATCATCAATTCGAGACCTCCACCCACTTCTGCTGAAGTCGCTTAAAAAAACACGAACGCCTACCTTGCCCGATAATACACCCCAACTAAATCCTTTTCTATCACCAACCCATCAGCTGCCGCATAGGACGAGTTCTAAGGTTCTTCCTCTAATCGAGGGAGAGTCGAGGAGACCTCGTCAGATCGCTTCGGGATCAGAAAGCTACCGTTTTCGACCTCCCTAACATCCACTTGGAGGAACACCTTTCTAGTTTCTTGACTCCTAATACAACACTGTCTATCCACTTGTTGGATAGTATTTAAAACTACGAGAGCTCCTTGTGGGGTCCCTTATTTTTACAACCCTCGTCACTCACCCGATCCGCATCCTTCACCGCCAAATTCGAGGGATATGGTTATGGCAACAGCTGCCGTCGACCGCTTTGCACCGTATCACTTTGATAATCATCTTCTGAGGAAGAATTTTTTCTACGATCAACACCTTCAACACAATGGCGCCGTGATCGCTAAGCAGTTGATTGGCGATGCCCTTCGCCATCGTGTTGAGAATATTGACCATGAGTCTTGTGAGCCGGGAGATGAGGACACATTTTTTGTAGGCGATCTTGGCGAGGTCTACCGTCAGCACATGAGATGGAAGAAGAATCTTCCACGTGTGAAGCCATTTTACGGTATGTCTTACTAGACCTTGATTTTTCCCCATTCCTCGATATCTTAGTACTAACATAACTCATAGCGGTCAAGTGCAACCCAGACCCCAAGGTCATTCAGCTCCTCGCCGGATTGGGCACCGGTTTTGATTGTGCTTCCAAATCCGAGATCGAGCAAGTCCTGAATATGGGTGTCGATCCAGCTCGCATCATCTATGCTCAGCCATGCAAGACCAACTCTTACGTGCGCTACGTCGCCAACCGAGGCGTCAAGCAGATGACTTTTGACAATGCCGACGAGCTGCGCAAAATTGCGAAGCTCTTTCCTGACGCCGAGCTATTTTTGCGCATTCTGACCGATGATTCCTCAAGCCTCTGCCGTTTGAGCTTGAAGTTCGGCGCATCCCTCGATTCTACCGATGAACTTCTAGCACTCGCCAAAGAGCTCGGATTGAACGTTGTCGGCGTGAGCTTCCATGTAGGCTCAGGGGCATCCGACCCTCTTGCTTTCCTCAAGGCTGTTAAGGACGCGGATACCGTATTTAAACAAGCTTACGCTCACGGCTTTGACTTGCAGACACTCGATGTTGGGGGCGGATTCAGTGGCGATACCTTTGAGGACATGGCCCACGTTCTTCGTCATGCTCTAGACGAGTATTTCCCACCCCACGTCAATATTATCGCCGAGCCTGGCCGTTACTACGTTTCCTCGGCATTTACTATCGCTTGCAACATCATAGCTCGTCGCACCATCGACAACCCAGCCACGGGCGAGACCAGCTTCATGGCTTACATCAATGATGGACTATACGGCAACTTCAGTAGCATTATGTTTGATCACCAACATCCGGTTGCTAAGGTGTTGCGATCGGGTAACCAGACATACTATAATACTGCTCTTGCTGATAACCTTCCTGAAGGTGACAGCGCCGGCATTGAATACTCAATCTGGGGGCCTACTTGCGATGGCATTGACCGTATCACTCAGAGTATTTGTTTTCCCCACGAACTCAATGTGGGTGATTGGCTGTACTTCGAGGACATGGGTGCCTATACCAAGTGCTCGGCCACTAAGTTCAACGGCTTCAGCGACAGCCACGACGTCATCTATGTTTGCAGCGAACCCGGTGCTAGGGCTCTCATGGATTTCTAGATTTTTATTTTGGTGATCATGAGATGTAGTCCTAAAGCTATAAAAGTTAGATGTGGTTTTCCTTTTAGAGAATAGACTCAATGATGACTTGGTCATCGCTATCCCAGAAGGGACCATCTTCCGTTCGTATCACTCTGTTTATAGAACCAGTTACCCCGGCCAAGAAGGCCGGTGCATATAGATAAAAAAAAAAAAGAATTCCTTTTAATGGTGGTACACCCCCAATATTGTCTTCCCCCCACAATGTGATACGCATGCAGTAACTTGCAAACCAAATAAAACATGATAGGATGTTAATGAAGTCATGATTTGACCTAACCTAAAATCTAACCTAACCAACTCTAGATCAGATTAAGAAACTGAACTACTAACAAGTAGATTGTATATTAAATCTGGATTTGTTTAGCTTGAGTCAGGTAATATGATATAAAATCTTAAGGAATAAAATGGGGGAGATCCATCGGTTTTGAATCTGACTTCAGATGCTCAGATGCTCAGATGCTTTCCTCAATCGTTATCGATCCAGTCTTAGAACCAGTCTTATAAATAGCAGCCCATCTTAAGAACAATCCCCCTTTTCTCTAAAATCACAACCTTTCAATATATAATCATTTACATAAGCTCGTGTCTAAAATATCAGCTCTTTGCCCAACGGTTTACATTCTGAATTATTCATATCTGTTAATGTTAAAACCTCCGCAATGATAGATTTACATGTGCTTAGTTAGGCTGGTGAAAATACAATAAACTACTACCTTTATATAATCTACAATAAAAAAATTCACTTAATCAAAGTCCCGATTCTCCTTTACAGACTTAGGTTATGTAAATAAGACCTTAAACTGGTTCATATATTGTCCGTATATAGCCTAGGAACAAGAAAACAAGCATGAAATGAATGAAACTGGAGCATTTTCCCACCCACAAAACAACTTATCCTGCCTAGGTACTTATCATAGAGATTCTTCCATCATATACCTAGGTACGTTATGTAAGTGTCCCTCCCGTCACAGATTTAAGAAATGCACGCCCATATATAAAAGCACACAACGAGCAAAGCAAGATATCTAAAACAATACCACAGAAGGAACCATGGGCATAGATGGTTCGTACCTACTTGTAGATGAGCCCTGACGTGGCATATAACCTCCATAGGTACCTAGTCAGTGCGTAGGTATGCCTTATACAAAGGCAGCTAAACAAGAAATTCCATTACTACTCGCCTTACTTGCGGTTATGCTACTTGTGACGTTGTTGAAGTGAATTTAATGTGACACATTTGAACACTTAATTTGGAGTGGTTAGGTGCGAAGTTTCTTGCTTGAATACCTGCACAGGTACCTAAATCATGTAGTTTCCACAGTCCAGTAAATATGTAAATGATGGTCGGTTGTTCAAGAAACTACCTAATTCACGCAAAAACAAGGTATCTCACGTAGGCAGGTACGGAGTCCGATAAGGAGTAGTTGTTGCTTCGTCACTTCCACTCGCCTTGGTAGCAAGGGCAGTTGTATCCTCAGTGATCCGAGTTTGCAGCTGTCAACCGACATTAATTTTTCCTTGCCCAGTGGCGTTCACCCAGACAAGGAAGTTGCGCACGTACATGCCATTGCTTCCGAGGAAGGTAGGTTCACAGTTCTTTGGGCAACAACGTCGTTGTTTCCAAACTACCTGATTGTATTGTGACAGTAGGAAGGTGCACACAATTTGCTCTTTCTCTACGTACACATCTAGGGCCTCAGATATTTTCTATATAAACATAGGCACCTCCCACCCATCTCTCCCAAATCCTAACTCGACCACAACCACAACCACTTCTCATACCTCCAAACCACACTCAATACCAACCACTTCACGTCTTCATACCACACTCCAATCACTTCTAACAACGATCAAGATGAAGGTCTTCTCCGTTGTCGCCCTTGCCTCGCCCATCGTGGCCGCTACTCTTGGTCGAGCTGTGACCCCCACTGCCGATCAGGCAAACAGCACTTTTGCTGAGGTAAGTTCTAAACTCCCCAACTCAAGTCCTCGTCAATAAATATAAGTTCCCGATAATTTCTAACATATCTATAATAGCTCGACGACATCCAGGTCCTCTGCGGTGTTCCCAAACCCGACAACGAGCTGCCTGCTACGTCCTACAGCTACCCCATCGGCCTGCTTCTTAGCGCCGGAGACAAGCGTCTTCACATCGACGCCGGCCCAGCCAACTGCCAGCAGGCAGCCTGCGGCACCAAGAGCGGTGCGGGTGTCATCGTCTGCAACGATGAGAAGAACGGTGTCGATCTGTTGTACTCGGACATTGTAAGTCACTCTTTTTCTCATTTCTAACTTCCTTCTTCAGATGCAATAAATACATAGGATATAGCTAACTCTAAGTTTCAGGGATTCTTTGCCCAGCAGGTCTACAACAAGTGCAAGCATCGCCGCGATGACATCGACTATGTTGAGAAGGGCCAGGCCTTCTGCCCTGACGGCTGGAACGTCATCCTGACCGATGTTGGCACTGACTGCCACGCCTCGACTATCCCGGGCAACTAATTCACTCATTGCCTATCTACGCCGTAGAGGACTAGTCTAGGTCTCTCACCTGACGGTGGTCAGAACATAGTGCAGTACATGAGTTTTCTCTTTTATGAGTTGTTAGTCGATCTACAACCAGCAGTTTCGATCTGATAGTGTTGGTCATATTCGACTTGGAGACATGGTACCTACTTTAGTTAGCTAGGGAACGTCCCATCACTGAATAAATGCAAACTGAGTTTCAGTAACCCACTGAGTTAAATTTCACGTGATAGCCTCTCTTTCATGCCATGTCCATAATAGGGAAATTTTCAGATATTGTTGTTTTCCATAAATAATCCCCCCTCATGAAAATTTACTCATCTGTCATACTTAAAATGTGAGTTTAAGCTTGTTAGGTGTGAAAATCCCATCTTAAGAAATTGGTTAATAAGAGTTGCTGTGCTTAGAGGAGTAGGCTCATTACAACAAAACTTATATAGGAAAATGTAAGTTTAAAATGAGATACGGTTCACTTTATGTCTGCCACTCATGTTCTTTTTACCTCCTTTGTTGATTGAGTATCTGATTTACTTAAGATACAAACCTCAAATATCCAACGTCTTAAGCAATGGTTATCGTAACCTTTTATTAAGCTTAACATGTCCATTTTGAACCCCTATAGCTATTTAGCAATGTCGTTTGGAGTAGCATGAGACAAGTTAGTTAAGACAGATATACGATCTACACCTATAGGTCATTAGATATCTCTTATTTCTTATTGGTGTCATAGGCTTCATTGACACTTGGAATGCTAGAGTTGTTAACTATGTATAGTCCATAGCATAGCAATCTTGAAAGGGCCTACCTAAGGTAGACATTAAAGAATTCATGATTGTCATCATTAACAGAACAGCACGTGCTGGTAATAGAACTTTCTTTGATATCTATGTACTTAGGTACATAATCGTTGGTACATTAGCGTATAACCTTAAATTGCGTCATATGATGGCGCGTTCGTCTCGCGTGGTAAGTGGAGGCTTTGTTGGTACCATGGTACTTTCCTTTATCCAAGCTGCCTGAAAAGTCTCGCTTTAATTGATTTACGGTTCTGCACCGCGTCTTTTCCGCCTGGTTTTTCATAAGTCTGAGATGCAATCTCATGACCCATCAGCATGGCTCGCAAAGCTGCAAAATTGGTTGCTGCAGCAGAAAAGAGAGCTATAGCTGGCGAAAATGAAAGCCAGGATAGTCAAGATATGTTAGAGATGCACATGCTGCGACATGGGGTGGGAGTGGTAAGTGGTGTTCCGTTAAATGATCAGCACTGGGTTGATTTTCTGGCCTAACCACGGCGAAAACAGCTGAGTAGTTCGCCTGAGCCTATGCAGCCACCCTATCAATCGAAACGAAGTGCCTTGGTATCAAGCATCAGGCCAACAAAGGCAAATATCTCCCATTCCCATTCCCATTCCTATTCCCCGAATCGGTCGGAAGAGGCTCCTAAAATAACCAAGGTATGTATGACATGGGCATTCCTATTGCTACGCTGGCCATAGACTTGGCCTTGATTTTGGCAAGGGTGGCACTGATCTAATTGCATCCCACTATGTAGGGACGGCCACGAAACGCGTCGAACGCGCTCATTAAGCCAAGTGCTGAGGATGATTCAATGAAGCAACCCAGCCAAGCGCGACCAAACTCCAACTCGTCGGTATCGTGTTCCCCCTACCTGCCGTCAACTTTAGAACCCGGAGAACCCGATCCGGTTTCTATCCAGTCAATATGCGACAATGCTACACCTGCAGTTGAGCAACCTACTCAGCCAATTATAGATGATGCGCTGCCTCCTCTCCAACAATCGAATACACCAAAGGGAAGAACAGAAGAAATGTCGTCAGGATCGCCAACACAATCAAACGATGGGCGTAGTTATGAGCAGTACAACGAAAATTCGCAGGTGCAATTAACATCGCAGGCAAGCAGCGTTCACGAACACCCCACTCTTGGCGAAAATGATACGGGGTACTTAAACTTTAGGCGTACTCATTACAACATACCAGACTCTGTACCAGAAGGGGACGAGGAAGAAGCTGAGGTAGATTTTGCTAGTCATGCTGCTAGAAAGTTACAATCGACATCGGATGCGCCTGGAGCGAGTGGCCATTATGCAGCGCCTCCCCAGACACCTACAATAACCCAGAAGTTATTTCAACATCGTGGGGATGAAGCCCAATTGATCCCCCCGTCGCAGCTTTTTGGCCAAACACAATGGACTTCGGCAGTACGGAAAGCTAGTCCTACGTCTTCTCGTCCGTCGCCTGATGTCTTTAGTCAAAATATAATATCACCTAACCCAGTCGCCTCGTCTCCCCTAAAACACAAGGGACTTAGGACTTCCCCTACTCGCGCCTTCACCTCAAGTCCAACGTTTTCTGGAATCTCATCTCGACCTTCGGATGAAAAAACACCATCCGTCCCGACGAATAGCCACGAAGACGAGGGCGCCAATCAAGGAAATGATGACGAAACTCCGCTTCCCTGCTTTGGAATCTCCAGACGTAGAACTGTGCCAGAACCAATTAGCGAGTATAAGTCGTGTCGAAAGGGGAGCTTGGAGACTGAGGCGACGGATCCTTCTAGTCAAGTTCACGAGGGATTAGATTCGGATTCTGAAGCAGACTTGGTTGCGCACCGCCGTCGCCTGGCTAGGTTGAAGCAGGAAAAGGCTAGCAAATCGTTCCCATCCGTCAGTCTCCCCCGTGCAGGTGCAGGCAAGGGTTATGATGTGGAAGTGCCATCGACTAGTCGCGTCAAATCGTTTCAGGGTCGAAGTAGAACGAATGCAGAACAGTATTTGGTAAAGTATCACCGTGAGACTGCAACTGATAACAACAAGTCGCAGGAAACAGTTGCAGACTCTCAAGAGCATATCATGCCACCGCAACATACTAAAGCCGATTCCAAGGTCTTTGATGGCTCTAGTGAAAAGGACATTGACAATGCCGGAGATTCTAATACCAACAATCTTTCGAAATCCAGACCCCCCTTGTCTAATATGGAATATAGGGAGACTATTCCTGAGACTAGTCCTCCAAGCACTTCCGTGGAACCACCAAAATTCTTGGATGAAGTGCGCCTTTATTCCAGTGCTATATCCGAGTCCGAAACTCTCCCATTGCCAGTGCTATCAAACGGTATAAATTCTGGAGAGCAGCAAAAGGATTCAAGCGGAACCCCAAATCTTCCAGAGCAGCCTACATTGATATCTGCAGGTCAAGAGTCTAAATCCACTAGAGAACAGTCTACTTTAGACTCTTCGCCCTCTATAGTTCTAGCATCCTCCCCACAGAGTGCAATCCGGCAGTCGGCGAGGCTGGACAACGTAGTCACGCCGTCATCTACCGAACGTGATTTACCCCCTGCTTCAGACCCTAGGACGGGAACATCAACTTTATCAACCCTATCAGCAACCCCCAGTATTTCTTCGAGTATCACGCCTAGTACAGATCCCGATGTCGCACTTGAAGGTGTTGAAAGACGTAGTTCGTCCCCAGCCGTAACGAAAGTACAACGTCGAGGAAGGCAATCACTCTCATCTTCACTGCCTCAAATCAAGACATTTTCACGTTCTCGAGAAAGTCTAAGAAGAAAGACACGTTATAGTTCAGTATCAACCGATGAATTAGCTAGATCACCATTATCTGCATCTGATAGAAACGAGCGGAAACCAACCACCCGAAAACTTGCAAGGCAGTCTTTCGTTAATCAACATCCATTACAAGATTCGACAGCAAATCGTGGAATCTTCGAAGGGATGGTTTTTGCCCTCTCTTTCCAAGGGCCACAGGTTCGGAAGAATAAAGGGAAACCTACGGATAGGGCTAATGTTGAACATATGATTCGCCAAGAAGGCGGCAAGATTCTCCCAGATGGTTTCGATGAACTTTTCAAATTTGATTCATTCCAAGCCACGGGGAATAATACCTCTTTTCGTAACCTATCCAGCTCATTAACACTTCTCGATAAAGATACTGGATTTGCAGCTTTGATAGCCGATGGACACTCTCGGAAAGTGAAGTATATGCAGGCTCTTGCACTCGGCATCCCATGTTTGGCACCTAAGTGGATAATGAACTGCATTTCAAAAAGGGAAATAATAGATTGGTCCTCATACCTCCTATGCGCCGGTCCAAGTACACTCTTAGGGGAGGCTATCCGCTCGCGCAATCTACAACCTTATGATGCTTCTACGGCTAAGCTAGCAGATGTGGTAAACGAAAGACCAAAGCTATTAGACGAGGCACGGATTCTTCTCGTTATGAAGAAAACTAAGAATGAAGGGAAAAAACTACCATATGTGTTTCTAGCACAAGTGCTTGGTGGTTCTTTAGTGCGGGTTTATAGTCTTGAGGAAGCCAGAGTCAAGCTTCGGGATGAGGAATCCCAAAATCGACCGTTCGACTGGGTGTATGTCGACGACTCTCTGCATAATGCACAGGATGCTCTTTTTGGATCATCTACAGGAAACACGGGCACTAGGAAACGAAAACGGCAGAGCACAGGATCCGAGGAAGCCGACCCGCCGCCGAAGAGGATTAGGACCCTCAGTGACGAGCTGGTAATCCAGAGTCTTATTTTGGGGAGGTTAATTGAAGATGGCGAAATGGAAGAGTAAATTCGACCTTGATTCATATTAAATTCAGGGTTGGTAATATGTCATGATGATATGGCGTCTTGGTCGGGGGCATAATCTGGCGTCTTGATAAGGTATTTTTCACGGTATTGACAGGGAGCAAGAGATGCCATTCCGATTGGGAAATAACTAATGTACATTATGAATTACAAATACGGCGAACGATACTGGATTCTGTGGTTATTGGTTATAGCCCATGCTTATCTCTTTCTTCTTCCACTTTTTACAATAGCTTCCCAAAAATATACAGTTTATTCAATAGGGGTGCGAATAGCTCGGCTAATCAAGATGCGCTGCAAACAAGGCTTTGAGGCTTCGCAAGATATACCTTAGGTGGTAACGAATCGTAGACGATGTCGTCATCCCGACGAGATGCATCAATTGTATAAAGGTTGTGCTATAGCAGCTTTCCTTGATTTCCAGCTAAGGGGATACGTTGCTAAAATGGCGTCGAGATGAGTCGCATAGCCAAATCAGGACCTTACTCAAGTCGTGCAACCCCCGTTGATTACCAAAAAATCAATAATAATACATATAGAATGTGCCGGAATGAGAGATAAAATGAGAAAAGGGGAGACTCTTCGGCTAGATCGAGATCTTGAGGCTCGATCGGAAAATAATACTGATTTCGTGTTAATTATCAGCTCAAATATATCCAGGGCTACCTATGCTTAAGTTGTATAGGTATGGAAGCTGGAAATTCCTCAGTTGCGGCGTAAAGTTAAACCCTAGTCGTTTAGATAATGTAGTAGTAATGAGTAGTAGTAATGAGGGGATTGTTGGAAGTAGTTGGAAGTGAGGTAGAGACCAACAAGCCAACAAGCCGATAAGTCAATACTATCCCGTTAGGAGGTAGGATTTTAAAGGATGGGGAAAAAGGCGCGTTCCTGACGCCGGCGGAGACGAGGGGTTGGAAGCAGAGGTGGATGACTCGTAATGTTTCCTCCCTTTTTGTATTATTTCTCTGCAGGTTTTAGTTACAAGACAGCAAGACAGCAAGACAGCAAGACAGCAAGAGAATGTGTTAACCTAGTTCCTTAAGCGAATTACTAGGGCCGGACGAAATTGAGGCAACCCCCGTTCTACGAAATTCAATAATAAAATGTCTTAGGTACCTAAGGAAAGAGAGCCGCCGCAAGCTCCGGCGCCGCCACGAACCTTCTACCCGCCCGATATTTTTCGGAACCTTTTTGTCTCCTTTCGTCTAATGCCTGTTTTAAGGTTTGAGTTCCAAGATGGAGGTACCAACCTAATGATACTGTTATGGTGTAGTTAGAACATAAAGTTATACAATGCATAGTTATAACTACACTAACTACTTACATGCATGAAAAAAGAATGGTCCAGACTTTTAAATGATATCCAGTTTATTTGCCCATTATCTCACGAGCGATTTCGAGATGATGGAAGACATTTTATTATCTTGAGGGGAAGTGAAAGAGAAGGTAAATAAGCTATTATAGCGGGGCCGAAAAGAATTGCCTATCGCAAATATTGTTGGCAGTATAGGGATTATGGATAGATGTGGTGAAATTGATCCTATTCACACACTAACTTCCTTGTTCCTACATAGTAAGGTACATAAGAGTTTCGATAGTCTCGGGCTAGAACAAAACCGGCTGCATACTACAGTCCGTCGCAAAGCAGCAGCATGGGGAACTACCATGCATAAGAACGGCACGCACGATAGTACCATGCCAACATTCCTACACACCTACACTAACTCTTACATACATTATGTATTTACATGCAACTAGCCTGGTCGCTGAACGCATCACAATAGGTAGTACAATACATGGACATATGCGAACTCAAAAGCCTGACCGCCTGGGTCTTTTTATCGTCGCATTGCAGCTCTGCCTTTAAGCTCTCGTGCCGTGCCAGGACACATGCTGACATGGAGCCCAGCCTTCCCAAAGTCCCAGCGCATGCGGGATTCCAGCGTGACGTCCCGTAGCAAATGCTCCGTGCTATCCATACAACCTCATTCTTCGGGACAGTAAGTAAGCCTAGGTTGTTGAGGGAAGGGGGGATATTCTAGAATCGAACCATTCAACGACGATTAAAATTAAGTTAACCAGGTTCTCGGCCGCTGGCCGCCGAGACCAGATGGTGTCTGACATATAAAACTGGCACTGCCGTGCCGGAAACACGTGCTCTATTCCATAAGGCCAGAGCTCTCTCCGCATTGTGATATTAGAACTTGGGTAGGTACAGACTTCAACCCGACAAGTACAGCAAAACCATATGATCCTCTTTGTATAGCGTAACAGGCGAGCTACATACTATAAAGAGCCGAGTTGGAATTATCCACTGAGGTATTTATCCGAATACGCTATATTTCTCTTATACCGGGTTATCACACAACTCTACATACATATGTTTCGTTTACGTCAAGGGTGTAAGGCATTAAAATGGTTACGGAATACCTACATAGCAGGATAACCAGCCTATGCAAACAATTGATAGTTAATCAGGTCCCTAATAGACTGGTAATTTGCCGATTGGCGCCGGCCCTGGGTCCGCTGGTGATTGTCACTACTATGCTTCTATTCTAATATGATCAACATGACTCGAGAGGAATTGGAGACTCTGATTTTGAACACTTTACATGAAAGTCTATGTTACTGCATGGGGGTCAAAAGTGAACAAAGCTTGGCAATACACCTCTACATCCCTGGCCGAGCCTCGCGGAGCTGAATGATACATAGAAACAAAAGACATTAAATATTATATCCGATTCTGCCTTGCTTTTTTAACTTACATTTATCTATCGTCCCGCGATTGTGCCAAAAGTTTCTTAGGTTACATCATCTAGCTCGTAACAACCCGAGGGTCTTTTGAAGCTTTCTTTTCCTTGCCCCTCCTTAACCTCTATGCTATAGAGGTATATATCGAAAGAGAAGAAAATAGTGCTCGCGTGGTCGGACTGGCGTCTCGTTTTCTACCGAGGAATTCTTGGCTTCTGTCATTGTTTGCGAAGGCGAAAGGAATACAGGAAGGAGAAAAGGATATCCATGCAATTAGGCCGTCGGTTTATACGAAGGTGGATAATGCTTCGACATCATAGTGTATCTACCTTTGTTGTTCCTGAGCGTCACAGCGTTTCACTAGGAGATCCAGCTATCGGTGCTGGCTACTGGAGATAGCTAGGCCTTCTTAAGTCTTATTAGTCTAAAAGCCCCAGGCCAATTGCTAATTCGCCGAGCATAACGGATGTGCTGGATGATATTTCGTCACTATTTGTCGTGTTCATGTCACCTACCGAATTATACTAAATGTGAATTAACGTTAAGCAAACTTGAGTATGTTTGCTATGTACAAGGTATCTACCAGGAAACGCATGATAAATGTATATAGATGTGATAGTGGGTAAGAGTATTGAAGACGATTGCAACGGTACCGTTTAGAGTATACCTAAGTGTGGGGTTTTGCTAGGCTGACAGGGATCTTACCTGCTTAGGGGGTACTTACAAGACATGTATCCCAAACCGGCCATAAGTCATACATATCATGGTATGTTGATAGGCTTGGTTAGGTACCACCTAACCTAGTAAAACAGCCCTAAAAGCTAAAAGGCCAAAACTACCTAAAAGGTACCTACATATCGTACGGGCTACAAGCCTGCAGTTTCCCGTAACATCGCGCAAAATACTACCTATCGAAAGCGAATAAGGTCGGCAGCACGGCATGAGCATGAGCATGAGCATGGTAGGAACCATGGGAAATTTGATCAACGATAGAAAAAAAAAGAATAGAAAGAAAGAAAAATCAATTGCGCGCACAACCAAAACCTCGGGGAATCCCATCTACCAGCATCCACGTCTAACAATCCCATCCACGATCCTCGCTCCCTTTTCCCCGCCTTGGATACCTAAGGATAGTGGGCAATGGGCTGATGTCAATGATTCGAACAATAATACCGAGACGAACGATCGATTCCATCATCAATTATTGCCGAATCAAGAAGAAAATAGAACCATAGAATCCCCCAGACCTTTTCCCAAGGTCACCCTTCTCGTCGATAATAAGTAAATACGTGGTAATGTAGGTGTCATCAGGGTTGTCATCCCGCTTCAATCACATACCTAGTACATATGTATCATAGGTATCATACATATATATGTAGGTATGTATGTAGGTTACTTGTTTGCAGCTAAGACTTCTTTTCTCCTCATTCCAAGGATTCCAGGGATTCCGAGGCATTTCCATTTCTACCGGGGTTGTGTCGAACATCGAACATCGAACATCGATCTACCTATACACTAGGTTAAGACCCTTCAATATACATAACAGCTAGGCCCGGCCCATCCCTCGATTTACAATTTACAAGTCTTTCTGTCCTCACCTTAGCCTCAACTTGATCTTGACCTTGGCCCTGATCTTGGTATCGGCCTTGCATGTGTCGTAGCGCAGCTTTTCCGTATTTCCTGGGAAGCTTGGAGGTGATCGACATCAGCAGCGAGCCCGTATTGACGGCGCCATTGGACAATCCCTTCTCTAAACGTCAACAAGATATCGAGATCACGTCAACAGCTACGAGGTGATTAGCGACCAACGAGGCCGCCTGGTACAAGATTCGATTCTGATTGGCTGCACTTGTGAACAAGCTACTTGGCACTAGACCGAATTGAGCGCTTTCAGCTAGGATTGCCCTCCCCTTCACTGCTTCACCACTGTCATTTATCGCCTCTGTTTATCGCTTTGCGTCACTAAGAAGTGAGAAACTCGGTTGCAAGCGCTACAGCGGCACTCAACCAAGTCGCTAGGCACTAGCAAAATATTTAACAATAATAAGGCAAGTGAGCCGACTCGGCGTAAATTATCGACTATCGATTATCGATTATCGATTATCGACACTTACTTTGTTTTGCATCCCTCGACCGCGCAAAAGAGAAAGAATCAAGACAAAATACAAGAGCAAGAACAAAGTATCACTATTGTATTAATATTAAAGAGGAAGGGCTTATATTTTACGGAATCAAAGCCAAAGCCAAAGCCAAAGCCGAAAGCCAAAGCAATATTCGCTCTGCCTTTGCTTAAGAATCACGAACGTCCCTTGTCGTCGTCTCGTTTATTCAAACAGCTTATTAGTTTCTCTTGTTGTCTTTGCGGGCTACCACTGTAGCGCTAGAGATACGACGGTCCCCCACTCAAGACAAATCCAGCCCACTTCGAAAACGCTAGACAACGGAGTGTGCGAGTGTGCGAGAGAAAAAAAAAAAAGGATCCCTCATTGGCACATTCCACACGTGTGTCAGCCAGTCAGCCAGTTAGTACCCTGGACTCCCCGGCGACTGGACATCATCCACATCAGCAACAGGCACAGCCTATGCAACGTTGACTTGCCCAGGTACCTGACTACCTACCTACAACTACTCTTACCTACCAAATATCCAAGCCATTTCCAAGGTTGTCTCGACCTTCTATTCACCTCAAGCCACCACAATCACACGATATTATTTTATTCAAAAGGAATTCAAATAATACATAGTTAAGGCATCATTGTGTTGCAGACTATTATCTCTCGGCAACTACTCGAGTTATAAGCGCCCAGCCGCCCGCTATATCCACCGCCCCCAAAAGAGTCGGACTGCATAGGTTACATGTCTCATTAGACGAACTCCATCAAACGCCTACCTACACCTTCATAGTCGCCTATCGCACCCTCCGCCCACCCAACGCCGATCCGGCCAAGCTAAGCGACCCATAGGAATAAGCAATTTGGATCGTCAGTGCTTTTTTTGTGACTGGAATTCCGAAAGGGGAGAAGAGGAGAAAATCCTTCTCGACCATGTTAGGCCAAGATCATAATATGAGAATGAGATCTCTCGATCCGTCTCCTCAAGTTTATTCCCACTCGAGATCAAGAACGTCTTCCTCCAGCGTATTCCCACAAGCCTTCATTCCAATGCAGCATCTGCAACAACCACAGCCCTCTATGGGCCATACACGGCGATCCCCCTCCGTCAATACATTCAGCACCACCTCCAGCAACACTCCGCCTGCCGCCTACCGAACGTCGCCTACTGCCGATATTCGACGTAGCACGTCCTCGAGATCAGGCGGCGGTCCTTCGACAAGCTATGTCGCCTTACTTCGAAAGCAAAAAGCCACCGTATGGTGCGATCGGTCACAGTCAGAAGACCCGCGACTCCTGGCTCAACAGCGTTTGGCGAAACAAAGGGCCAATCAAGAAGTCACAGGCGGTGTAATACAAAGCCGCACTTCGACCGGGATAGGAAGCACTGGTGGTAAGGTTGCTGCTAAGATCCGCCATCACGGCAAGCCTGGTGTGGTAGGGTACACGCCCGACAGCAATTATATGGGAGTCAGCGGCGTACCGATGCGATTGAGCGCTACCGAGGTCGAGGGCGAAGACGGCGACGAGGATGACTTGTCGATGCGCCGCCTGCATCACCGTAGGACGGGTAGCAGCGGGCGTAGCAGTACTGCCAGCAGCAGGCGAGGCCTCGCGTATCGTACTTCCGGCGCTTCTCAGAACAGCAAGAGATGGAGTCCTGGCGACACCCCGGAACGCGCAGGCAGCATGGTTATCGAGGACCCTGAATATCTTCCTGGGGACGATAAGTTGGAGCGACCGCAGAGCACTCGAAGCGGGAGTAGCGCAGAGAAGGCCGATGCTCTACCCGAACTCGGTAGCGTTAGCGCCGCTAAGCTTGCGAGTAATAGTCTGATGAACGCCGCACTTACGAGAGAGAAGAGCGTCAAGAACCCGGAGGACCTTCGACGCCGGGGTAGTGTGGACGAGCGTACGATGACCCTTACAAGCGGGCGATTATTTATTGCCAACCCCGATTAATGAGGCAGACTTTTACGTCATGTCTTTTTTATTATCTTAGCATTTCATTTGGGCGGTTAAGAACACCACGGTGTATCGTAGCCATATCGAAGGATATCTTGCATTGCAACGGCGTTTATTGGGTTTTGAAACGGAAGAGGTCATCCTCAGGGCATATTGAACCCTTTAGGGACAAAGGCCAGCCCTTCATACGGTCGTTCACGGGTTTGTTGGTTTAGTTTTGATTTTTATCTTCGGAGCATATACCCTCGCTACCGCTTCGGAGCTTGCTTAGTGTTGTTTTTTTTTTCTTTCTTTTTTTACATGCCGAACTCGTTGAGCGAGACGGTAGCGATCCAAAAGTCGGTGGAAGCCAGCGGGTATGAAATTGTTTATCTTCACGGCCTTTGAGCCAGAGCGTAATTAGCTGTTTGGGCGAGGACAGAAGAGACCGAGATGGATGGCAATACTACCAGGTAGATGTATTGTCGTCATTAGAATTATTATCCACACTACTTACCATAAGTGATAAGGAGAGAAGAGGAGAGTATACGTTGGAAAGATCAATATCAACTCTGGAGACCGCTTGCGGCTCTAGATATTCAAGCCATTTGGTTTTAAGCGTGCTATATGTGAATATGATACTATTGTGATCTGTATCGTTCTTTATTTTTTATAGTATGAAGAAGATTATGGCTTTGTAGTTAACTATATTCTTGACTTCCGAGTAAAAGTTACGAAGCGTCTATATGCCCAATCTCGTATATCCATCCTATCAGTAAAAGCCAAGGACCTTTGCCAAAGTTCTTATGATGGGGAATATTTGATTTTACTATCTGCAGCTCGAATTGCGCGAGAGCTTGATAATTGGACTGTGCTGCTTCGGAAGATCTCCAAGTCGCGAGCGCGGAGTAAGTTCGGGGGTTTGTTGGGTTGTAAACTTGACCTGGGGAAACTTTTAACTTGATCAACTCGTAACTACAAGTTTTGTATTGCGCAGTAACTAACTACGTGATTTATATCGTACATTCGATAGTTATCAGCACAGCATTAGGTACCTCGCTTATCCTCATGACAATTAAGTAATAAACTGGGCGAATACTGAGAATCTATCAAAGTCTAGCAATGGCGGAACATCCTTCCTTCACACTGGCGGCTTTGCGTAAGTGTTATTACGTGCGACTTGTCTGGACGAGTTGATATAAGTGGTTGAGCGAGCGCTGGCTAACCGAAGAGATACCTAAACGTATAGTTGCCGCTAGCGGAACTGCGGGATTCGTCAAGACGCGCTCGAGGCCGTCGCTTATCGCGGGTCTGGGATTAGGAGCGTCTTATGCGTTTTCCGGTATGTTGTTCCTTGGCTGCTCGGCTCTTGGCTCTTCTCTATTTCGAGCCAGGCGTACTGTCGATATGTAGTCTTGCTCGGCCCAGTTCCGTGTTTCTTACCTAGGTAGATATCTCTTACTAATGGCTGGCTGACTGGCTGGCTGGTAGGCTATCTCATAAAAGGCAACAAGGACTACGGCACGGAGCTCGCGCTAGGAAACAGCATCCTCCTGCTGGGCTCGGCCGTGCCGCGCGTCGTCAAGACTAAGGCCCGCGCCCCGGTGCCCATCGGCTTGCTGGTTGCCGGCGCGCTCGCCACGTTCTACTACCAGAAGAAGGTCCGGGAGTTCCGGTTCGGCGTGTAGGGTTGGGTTGGGTTGCTTGGGATGGGTTCTGTGGGAAGTGAGTATGGTATAAGAGAGTGGTCCCTTTCTGAAGAAACCCGGATTCGGCTGGTTGTTGATGTGTACGGTATCGGAAAAATGTTGGGTTTGTAAGATAGGTTAGGTTAGGTTAGGTGGCTAATTGTGTATCCCTCCTCCTGCAAACAAAGAACAGCTCGACCGAATTTCGGCTCACCACGTGGATTTCAGATTCAGGAACCACTTTGCATCTTCACATGTTCACGGCTTCCCATGTGGCATGATTTCGGGTTCGCCGTTTGCCCAGGACCCAAGGCCGTCGAGTTGGAACCAAAAGACAACCTTCTCCATCCACATAACTAACTGACCATGATGTCGTCCCACGAGCACCGCACTTCTTCGTATAGTTGCCCTACGGGAGGGTTTACCTAATTTCGGGTATAGCCTTGACGTTTCCGTCGCTGACAGGTCCGCTGGGCTAGATGGGCATATATAGACTAAGCAGCTTATCCGTGGAACGGCTGGGATTTACGGTTCTTTTGATAGCCTATGCAGCTCGTGGACGCGCGGTCAAAGTAGCGGTGACCCTTACTACATATGCCCGCCATTAGCGGTGCCAGGTAGTTCAGTTGATATACAGCTTGTGGATCATTGTGTGCGATCGGGGTTGACTGGGGACTTACCCAGCGATAATGGCATCAAACATTACCAGACATCACACTTTGGTCCAGCACAACTGGCTAGCAATTTGGGAAGCAAAATTACCTACCAAGAATACCCGAGAGTAACAATACATGGAGTACATGAATAAAGTGTTAATAATGTACGTTTCTACGTACCTAGGTAGTAATCTATCTACTTCAGCTATAGCCCTATAGCCACTCTCCGTCACCTCGCCCCAAGCGGTTGTGGATGTGCCTCGATCTCTCTGACGATCTCTCTCGTCCGTGCATTATCCACAAAACTTAGGCCGATCAACTCGACCACTTCTTCAACTGAAAAATATAGACTAAGTTCGCTCTCCATCCATAGATAACGTACGTCCTGGAGGTTGCTCTGCAGCACCTCGCTGAGGTATTTAAGCCTTAGCCAACTGCCGGCGTATTCGGACGTGGTGGGGACCGCGTCCTTCGGTGCCCCCGGAGGAAGGAATAGGTCGTCGAGCTCTGTGATGCGCGCGATTAGACTCGCGATGTTGTACGCTTCATCTTGGCCGATGCCTGCTAGGTCCATGACATCGGAGACAAGTTTCGCGGCGAGGGTGTCGACTAGTGAGCCTACGGCTTGGCTCCAGGCTGATTTCGACAAAATAGTAGACCATGTTGCGGCGAGGGCACGCACGTGCCCGGTTGCGCTGTCGACTTGTGCTTCTAGGTCGGAAGTGGCGAGCCCGTCTTGCTGGAGAAGATTCTGAGAACCACCGAGTAAATCCCTCAATACTGTTCTTTGTGTGGACATCTCGGACGAGTAAGCGCGGGTCGCGAAAGACTGGAGCGCCTTGATGTCGTTATCGAGGCGGAGCATCGCGACCGCGCGAGGCGTCAGATCTTCGCGGGTCTTCCAGTCCTTAGAGAGGTCCAAAAGCCTCTCGGAAAGGTAGATCGCATCATTATATAAGAACCTGAGCGAAAATGAGTTTTTATAAGAAAATAAATAAATAAATAATGAAGGCATACTTACATGTTACCGCCTGCATTAAGAGTATAGTAGTATGGTGACACGGCGCGGAACATAGCAAGGACAAGGGTTGGCAATGAAAAGAGGCCCCCGGCTGTTGACGCCATCGGGTTGCCGTCGCTCCTAATATTTAGTTAGATCACTAAGATTCTAGGCTTGTATTAGGCTTGTATAATGCATGAGCTTACCCAACGAGTGAGGCTGCATCTTCAAGAATAGCCGAGACAAGTGCTAAGACTGGTTCTGGCATAGAAGAAATATTATAAGTTTCTTTTAACGTCAACTCACGAGTCTGTGTATTTGAAGGTTGAGATTTCGGTGTCGGCTCTTCAGGGGCTGCTTCTATTGTATCGTCTTCACCCCATCCCCATGCTGCCGCAGGGTCTTCCTCAACTGCTGGTTCCGTTTGAGGCTGTTCGCCTACGGTGTCATCTTCACCCCAACCCCATGCAGCGGTTCCGTCATCTTCGTTTGTCTCCGGTTTTAAATTGGTGTCTTCCTGAGTATCTGTCTCCCCATCATCCCACGCTGCGCCCCAGTCATCATCGTCAGTCGAAGGGCCAACACCGTTAGCAACTAATACCTTGCCTTCGGACCGCGTGACGGACTGAGTTTCGACACGTTCTACTTCCTTCGGTTGGCCTAGTCCTCGGGAAAGCCTCGTACGAACGGTATCTAATGCAGTCTCTTTACATTTAGATAGCCACACCCTCGGAGCATCGTCGACCCACTCCTGTAGCTCTTGGAACCCGGAGAGTTTTAGACCCCGCAAACGGCTGCAAAATGCCTTTACGGCTTCCGTAACATCTTGAAACTCGTCCATTTCCTTTAGAGACGCTGGAACTGCTATGTCTAGCCAGGTGCTTATAAGCCGAGGGACAAGGTCTTGCATCATTATGTTGGATAGGGAATATACCAACTCTTCCGGTAGGCGCTCGGATAGATAGGTCATCACCTGGTCTAGATCGGCAAATAAAGCAGCGATAGATCTATCTGCGCTCTCACCCAGAGTTAAATACGACTAATATTCTGTTAGTATCTCGCTAATGTGACGGGAGGGGATTCATACACCCTCCAATTGGATCTTGGGTAGCTCCTGAGCTTCAATGTTGGTGCGTGGACCGATAATGGCTTGGTCGACGCCATGCCAGAACGAAGTCATTTTTTGATCAAGTTCTTTATACGCCTTTAGACCTACAACAGCATCGGATAGACTCATCTGCTCATCTGTAAGAAGTTAGATTGTCCGTGACGTATTTGGCTGCGGCAAGTACCTTCATGACTTTGAAATACAGCAATCTTTCTGTTCTCTCGGTCTACCCGTACCAGGGAATCCCAGACCCGGTCGAACACATCATGAATCGTGGATTTCAACTCGAAAGCCCTCATGTCAAGCAGTTTCATAACACGGCAGGATTTTCCGACGGGAATTGCGTCCAACCCAGACCAAGATTCTGGAATCGATCAGTGACGGACAATGATGGGAGGCTAAGTTTCCTACTTTCTAGGAGGTGAAGAGAATCCAATATCCTACACTCGTCCCGCGCTTGTTCCACCTGGTCTAAGAGCCCATTCACGTGTTTGATACTCCCCAACGCAAGGTGGACTTGCTGGCTGTATTCGACCTCTTGTTGCAGGAACTTAACTTTAGCTTCTGTTTCTTCTATTGTTTTACCTGATACATCAGGTGCTTGTGACCGCCGCACAATATCATTCGCCCAGGTTCGCGATCGGTTTATATCATCTTCAAGCGATTTCGCATTGGTGATCCATTGGTCTACGTCTGGGGCAGTCTCTTCGTTGATCTTATGGATGTCAGACTACGGTGGTTTAATTAGCGGCTGAATTAGAGCGAAGCTGGTAGCTATTTGGAATACCTCTAGCTTTATCTTTGCTGTTTCCAAGGATACTAAAGCTGGCGCAAGATCTTGCGCTGAGATTTGTCGCGATGATATGTCTTCATCCGGAAAGATGCCGTGTAGGGAGAAATCGACCAGCGCCTGGCCAATTTGGCCTCCTTCATTACTGGACATAGCGACGTGCCGGAGGTGGCCTCTTCAGACTTCCTTAAGAAAAACAAACTAGGTTGGGAGGTTCAACGATGGGGGGAAGCTATGCAGCATGAATAACAACAATGATGAGCTGGCTAGCTGAGATACTAGTCATCATCAGATTTTGAAAAAGATATTAGTCGCGTATTTTTATATAATAACTATTCTTCTTGATAATTAGATTGGGCATATAGTTCAGAGGCATTGCTGTACAAACAAAGACGAAGCTTGTAATCGTATGGTGATAGCTTCAAAAAGAAAAGGCTACGTCAAGTTTTGGTTACTATTGGACAAATCATTCGAATGTTGTAATGGAGCTTGGACCATGCTACCAGTAACCAAGCTAGTACGTACAATACCCTGGTAGTGATTTATGATAGGTCATACTGTTAAGTCCCACTCAATTAGGTAGCGCCTAGCGCTCAAGCGCTTGTTACGTTACGCAGCCTTCTATCGATTGCAGCCCCGCCGCGGGGTTAGTAGGACTAGAAACAGTAGGACTAGAAACAGTAGGAGCAAAGGGATTTGATCTCATCAAAGTAAGGAGAAATATCGGGAGGCTTAAAAAAGAGTTACCTTTAAGTACTTATCGTATCTCTTTCACCCTGGTTCAGGTATCCAAAAGATTCATACTTCATTAAGTATTTCAACTCTAACCTTTTTCGATAGAATCACATCTATTACGTTATTGTACCCAAACCCATCATTAATCTTAGATTTGCTTTTTTCGTCTTTGTACGATTTCTACCTTTCCCCTCTTTTTGTATGACCTACAATCCGGCTGTCGTATGCCTAGATAATTCGTACGGAAGTACTGCGTGCCTGACACACCGCATCATCACATCACCCGTTAAGCTGACGCCAGGATTTGGGCCAGGACTTGGGCCAGGATTTGGAACCCGAAATTTGGTCACTTCAACCTGCAGCTGGTTCAGATCGAAACCACTCCAGTTTTCATCTCGATCCTATTGGTCGTCTTCTACCGTGTCACCAAGGTCATCAAGGTTACCAAAGTCACTAAGGTATGTCAGAGACATTTACCCTCTTATCATTTGAGATTTACATTCCCCGGATCGACCTTGTTGAGCACCAAGTACCTACTCCGTTCAAATACATACATAAATCCTTCTGAGTAGCTACCGTTATTATTAGCGCCCGTCGTCTCGTATCCGGTAGCTTCTTACAAAAAAGATGGGTGTAAGGATACACAGGCTATTTATAATGCTATGATCAGTCAGGCGCAACTTAAGACATCGCTCTCAGCTGCTTTAGTCGCTATTATTGGTACCCTTCATTGTCTTCTACCGCCAGAGGGTTGGTGATATTGGGTATGAAAACCTACCTTAATGTGATCGATCCCAGTGTGCATAAGGAGTGGGTGGATGGTGTGTTATCGGAGAAATCTGATGCAGCAGTGGAAATCTCTTCTACTACATGCGTCTCACTTTTAGAAAAAGGTGGCATCTAACTGGATGCTGGACTCTAGTGACGACGCACCCTGACCGCACCATGACTCCTTATCACAGATTTTACTGTCGTTAGTACGAATATGCCTAGGTTATATTTGTCCATCTATAGAAGTCTTTTCAACATGTTTATATTTACCAATCCGTAGTCATTTTGTTATTTCTTTTTTCTTTTCTTATTTGTTAATGTGGATATACACTTACTAGTTAAGCAGCTACATACAAACCGCCTCGTTTAAGTCGTTCGATGTCAAGATGGGGTCACAGGGCCCTAGTGTACGATTTCGTAAGCTTCAAAGCTTCCAAACGGATTACGCCCACGCATCCATCACCCAGTATGAATCAGAACGAAGTGGTATGCAGGTCATCGTGACCGACCGAAAGGGCCCAAAGGTCAATGGCTACTTCACCTTGGCCACTGAAATTTTCGATGACTCGGGAGCCCCTCATACCCTTGAACACCTAGTATTCATGGGTTCAAAGAGCTACCACTACAAGGGGCTATTAGACAAGCTAGCCTCTAGAGCCTATGGAGGTACTAATGCTTGGACCATGACAGATCATACGGCCTACACTCTTGAGACGGCTGGTTGGGAAGGATTCGCCCAGATTCTACCAATCTATCTTGAACACCTTATCGTACCCACCATAACAGATGCAGCGTGTCTGACCGAAGTCCATCATATTAATGGCGAAGGCAATGATGCTGGTGTCGTTTACTCAGAGATGCAAGGTGTGCAGTATTCAAGCGCGGAGATTATGGACATTAAAGCACGGCGCCTTCTTTATCCCGAGAATGTCGGTTTCCGATATGAGACAGGCGGTATGATGGAAAACCTACGGGTTTTAACCCCAGAGAGGATACGAAATTTCCATAGAGAGATGTATCAGCCACGGAACATGTGCATTATCATCGTTGGCGAGGTTGACCATGATAATCTTCTTACTATCCTAGACCAATTCGAAGAGGGCGTCAAAGATGACCTCCCCCCTCTTGACGCTCCATTCAAACGACCATGGATAGAGTCTGCACAGCCACCCCCTCTCAAGAAGACAATAGTTGAAACTGTTGAGTTTCCTGAAGAGGATGAATCAATAGGTGATATGGTTGTGGGTTTCTTTGGGCCAAGCTGCACCGATCTTATCCAGTCATCTGGCCTAACTATTCTATTGACTTACTTATGCGGATCTTCCGTCGCAGTGTTGGAAAATATTATGGTGGAGAAAGAAGAGCTTGCTAGCTCTATCTCCTACATGTGTGATGCTCGGCCAAACAGCGTTATCTGGCTTCAGCCGACCGGTGTAGCTACAGAAAAGCTAGCATTTGTTGAGCAACGGCTTATCTCTTTGCTCAAGGAGGTCGCAGCTCAGCCGCTAGATATGACCTACATGAGAGAGTGTATTCAGAGAGAACGACGGCAACTGAAGGCTCAAGCAGAAGAATCCGAATCATTCTATTCGACAAATATTATCACAGACTACCTCTTCGGTAACCGAGACGGATCAACTCTCAAGCAACTTGCAAGTCTCGACGAATATGATATTCTAGAAAAGTGGACAGACGATCAGTGGCGGGCTTTTCTCAAAACATGGCTTGCTGACGCTCACCATGTCTCTATACTTGGAAAGCCTTCTTTACAGCTAGCTACGAAGCAGAAAGAGGATGAAGTAGCGAGGATCGAGAAGAGGAAACAGGAACTAGGCGCAGAAGGATTAAAAAAGTTAGCCCAGAAGCTAGAGGATGCTAAGAAGCAGAATGAGGTTGAGATTCCGGCCTCAGTACTCGAGAAGTGGCCGGTACCTCCGATAGAATCGATTCACTTCATCGAATCTCAGACTGCACGATCCGGCATGGCTAGGAAACTTGGTGTCCAGAAAAATTCCGCGCAAAAGATCATTGACCAGGCCTCGTCTGAGTTACCCCTATTTGTGCAATTCGAAGATGTTCCGACCAACTTTGTGCATATCTCAGTCCACGTCGGCACTTCTAGTTTACCTGCCGCATACAAACCTTTGTTGTCACTCTTCATCGATAACTTCTTCAACACCCCCATTCGTCGGAATGGTGAGCGTGTCCCATTCGAGAAGGTGGTGATGGAATTGGAGAGAGATACAGTTAGCTATGCCCTGGATTCGGGCAGTAGATTCAGCGATTCAGAAAGCTTCCTAATTCGATTCCAAGTCGAGCCAGAAAAGTATGCTACTGCTATCGAGTGGATTCGTACGATGATGTTTGACAGCATTTTCGACCTCACTCGTTTAAAGGCCTGTGTTGCCAAGCAGCTTGCCGATATCCCCGAGGCGAAACGCGATGGTAGAGTTATGACTAGTGAAGTAGAAATGGCGATTCATAACGAGGCTTCGTCCCTACTTGTGGCGAAACGCACTCTTGTTAAGACTGTATATCTCCGTCGACTTAAGAAGCTCTATGACAAGGACCCCGAAGCGATGATATCAAAGTTCGAGGAACTTAGGAAATCTCTATTCACTTCTGATAACCTTCGAATTCTGGTCATAGCTGATATATCAAACTCGAAACTGCCTGACCCCGTTAAAGCTTGGGATACACTCTCTAACTCACTCAACGCTCACGTAGAGTCCGTCAACCCTATAATTAAACCTCACACTCTTCTAAATAGTGAAGGTCGCAACCCTGGTTCTGTTGGGGTGACGATTGTTCCTATGAGGGCAATTGATAGCTCTTACTCCATCTGCTCCAGCAAAGGCCTTACCTCATTCTCCGACCCAGTGATTCCTGCACTTCTAGTTGCCATGCAATATCTGGAAACTGTGGAGGGTACACTATGGAATGCTGTTCGCGGGAACGGCTTAGCCTACGGCGCCTACTTTGTAAAGGAACTAGACGGAGGGTACTTGCATTTTAAGGTATATAGGTCCCCCTTAGCATCAAAGGCGATTTCTGCAGCGCGTGATGCTATCACAGCGTTAGTGGATGGCACTGTCGAGTTTGAGAAGCCTATGATTGAGGGCGCAATCAGCCAGTTAGTGATGGCCATGGCGGAGGAACAGGCTACTTTGGCTACCGCGGCAGTGCAAAAATTCATAGTCGGTGCTATACGAGGGCTTGAACCCGATTATAACATCAAGATGCTTGCGAAAGTTAGAAAGATATCAGTTGAAGATATTAAGCAGGCTATGAAGACATGGCTATTGCCCCTGTTTGAACCTGGGAAGAGTAACGTGGTGGTCTGCTGCGCACATGCAATGATGGAGGTAAGTTATTTTATTCTTTAGGAGTTACGTTTGGGCCGTCTGTTTAACTAACATTTTATAGCAACTCCAGAAAGAATTCAAAGCCATGGGATACAAAACCGAAGTGAAACAGTTATCAGATTTCCAAGGCGATTATGGCCTTGAAGACCCAGATGGCGAAGAAAATGGAGACGAGGAAGACGACGATGACGATGATATGGAAGATGATGATGAGGATATAGAAGACGATTCTGAAGAAGATGATTAGACCTATCACGCATCCTTCCGAGTAATACGGTGGGT